TTGAAAAGAATCGGACCAAAACTGTAGTAGAAGATAGGAAAAAACTGAAAAACCTTCACGTTAGTATACTACGCTCGAGGACGACGCCCAGATGTCGCCAACCCCACATCATGTAGCCATGTCCCTAAGGTTGACAAATTTCACGGCCCTGTAGATACACGTACACCCGTTGCCTTTCTACAAGAGTTCTTCTACGCGCCCACATTTGCTGCCAGCCAGCCAGCCAGCCAGCCAAAGTGAGATTAAAAGCTACTTTTTACAAATAAATTTGCAAAAATTCGTTAAAAAGTGGCCATTTAAATAATTGCATATAACCTCTTTACAGGAAAGTAACATTTTCTACCCGTTACAGGGAAAATTATTGAAAAGGATGAAGAAGTGAAAAAAAGTTTATTACTTATGTATACACAAGCAAAATTTAAACAGGTTAGGTGCGGGTTTACGGAAAGGATGATAAGAATATTTAAACACAGAAAGGTGTACAACAATTTTAATGAGCTTTAGGGCATTCTAATTTTTTTAGAAGACCACAATAATTTTGTACTGTTATTAAGGTTTGAATGAATATTTCAATAGTACGAAAAAGAATCGCAAAAAAATAATAGCGTAATTACATTTAGGAAGTGTGATTGTAACTGTTCATTTTCTGTCAAATACAAAGAACAAGGACAAACTGATTTAGTTGCTAGTTGCCAGTTTCGCAGAAAGTGAGATTAAGGCAAGCGTTGATCCAGGCGACAAAGCTGTCAGCATCGTGCGCTGTGGAGTGACTAGTGTACTACCCATCCCACAGTGCTAAATAGCTAATACTCCAACAACTTTTCTTCTCTTTTCGACTCTTCTGACATGGATTCATGGGCATTTACAACCGTAGCAAAACAGCAATCCTCAGTATCACTCTTTCAGAATATAGAAAGGTAAAATTCGGGTGCCGTCAAATATTATCTCGCTCTTCTTCTGACAAGGACTTTTAAAACTAAATAGAGATCTCAAAGGTTAACGATGCGGTGATCTTCGAAATTCAGTCAGTGTAAAGTTCAAAAGTTGATGGCCGTTCAAAGTTCAAAGGTTGGTCTCCGTTCAAAGTTTAAAGTTTGCTCGCCATTCAAAGTCCAAACGTTGATCAAATTGCCAAAGGAACCGCCCAACTGTTTCTTTATGGATACACTACTCTACGTGGTCACCATCATGAAGAAATTCATCGCAGCTCAGCGTGTGGGTGATTGGTCTGGTCACTTACTGTGTACCCAGATGATGATTCCGTACATCTGCCCGTGTGGATATTTCCGTTATGCAAAATCTGCAATACAGGATGGCCCACTGAAAACAGTCAATGGCAATTTTGCCCACTTAACGACAGTTTTGCCAGAAACGCTCGAACACGTCAATTTTAGTTTTGAGGGAGACACCTAAATTAAGTAATAGGTACTCCTCACATAACTTTAACCCTGAGAAGGGGGCGAATTGCACCCCAAAAATGTTAAATGGGAAGGGGTAGTAGATGTTAGATAGGTCGAACTGTGTGTTCATTACGTTTTCAGAACTGTAGTTACAGAGAAAACTCGATTTAAATGGATTTGCAGAGCCGTTTTAAATGTTTATTAAGTAGGCGTTGAAGTTAATTCAGAGCTTGTGTCAGAAAAGAACATCTGACATAAGCGCAATAAGTGCACAAGCAATGAAGCGAATTTGTGAGTGTATTAAATTAACTTGTTTAATTTTGTGGTAAATTCAAAAACAATGACGGTTTAGACTATAGCGCAAAGGGTGGAAATTGTTTCGATTTTTTTTTAAATGGCGATTCTGCCTTCACAAATTCGCTTCCCTGCTTCGGCACTTATTGCACTTATGTCAGATGTTCTTTTCTGACTCAAACTCTCAATTATTTCAACTTCAACGCCTACTTAATAAACATTTAAAACGGCTCTGCAAATCCATTTAAATCGAGTTTTTTCTGTTCTGAAAACATAATGAACATTCCTTTCGGCCTATCTAACATTTACTACCCCTTCACATTTAAATTTTTTGGGGTGCAATTCATCTCCTTCTCAGGGTTAAAGTTAAGTAGTATTACTTAATTTAGGTGTCCCCCCTCAAAGCTAAAATTGATTTGTTCGAGCATTTCTGGCAAAACTGTCGTTAAGTGGGCAAAATTGGCATTGACTGTTTTCAGTGGGCCTCCCTGTATAATTATGGTCTCCTTAAGAACCCGCCACCCTGAAGTTTTGGTGGAGTATATGAAGCATGGCTACTTGATTATCAACAAAAGTCAAAAATGGGTCATCATAGGCAGGAGTGTGCTCGGGCATGGCGATTGAACAGACTGTCATTCGATCCCTAAAGAGTGAGGGGGGGGGGTTACAAGAAAAAGAGGCATTGCCGGCTCTCTGCGGGCGAAATGGGTACGAGGAATTTCTGGAGCTACTACCGCCATATGCTCTCCTCTCTAGGAGTTTGCTAGAGTTCGCTTCGCGAGTGGCCAGTCGCGCGGACTTCTCCCACACCGAGTGAAATGGGATTCCAGTAGCACTTTTTGTTTAATTGCCGACCAGTAGGTAGGTCGTACTATTAGTAAGTAAGGATGTTGTCTTTGCGCATGGGCAGTGCTGAAGTCTGCAGGACGAAAGGTATTTGTGGAATGACAAGGTTTTGACTATGTTTTTCCGATTATGACTAATTCTTTGATTGTGACGATACAAGATAGTATAATCTCCTTATTTGAGTAGGATTTCCTAAATTTTTTCGCTTTTTTATGTGGGCCAGTGGTCCTGGATTACTGTCCTAACCAGTCAAATGCGTGCAAAAGCTGGCGGGGCCAGTGAAGTGTGGAATTAACGCGCTTGGGTCAGATTACAAGAAGATTTTGTTAATTTTACAGTCGTGGTTATCTAGCTTACTTAGTACGCAGCGTGAGATCTGCTAACTCAACGGAATTTCCATTCAACGCATTGTCGATTTATGTCTATCAAAACTAGAAAAGGTGAGTTTTATTAGTAGAGAAGGCCCAGAATGGGTGTGAATTAAAAAATAAAAGCAGTGGTAGTTAGGTTGTTGATAGGGTGCCCTGTGACAATGCGCGTTAAGCCACGAAAGAGTTCGCGTCGAACTGTTAAAAAATCACAAACAGCCGTAAGTTAGTGCAGAGTGGTTTTATAATTTATGACGAATTCAAATGAACCCGCAGGGCAGTTCAGGTCGTAATCCGTAACCTAGATGGCGCGAAAGTGGTGTTTTTTAGATTTTATGTGTAAAATTCGCTTGGAACCACTAGCGAGTTTAAATCAACCACCTTTAGTTTCTCTCAGGGATTATATGGCGCGAAAGTGGTGTTTATATTTTATGTGAAAAATTCGCGTGGAACCACTAGCGAGATTAAATCAACCACTTTTAGTTTCTGTTAACACTCTGTGTTAATCGATTTTGCACCTGCCTTTCGCTAGGACACAACCTGCCTAATTATATAATACAGGGGTATAATTATATTTCCATACAAAGTAGGTTTCAAGACCCATCACATACCGGTATTCAAACAATATAAAAAATTCAGCAATCATGAAAAAGTATCAGATTTGATACATATGGAAAATAAGATAGTAGAAAAATAGCACTGCAAACAAATGCATCAAATATATTACGCCCCCACATAAAGAAAACATAAACCCCCGATCCATCGTACAACCCGATACAAAATCGTACTTGAATTCCAAAGCCCTGTCCTCCGAATGGTTAAAATACAAAATACAATTGAAGAGTTACATAGCATTTTAACTACGTACACACCCTCTCCCAGATACCCTAAATTATCTAAACGCCCTGTATATGAATCTCAATTGAAAGCCACCACACCTATGGAAAGTTCCACTTTAACTACCTATGCAACGAAAACTACAATATGCCCCTCATAACAAATAATAAAATCCAGCACGTAGTGAAAATAGATGGAAATTTCCCAAAAGAATTGCAACATAATTCGAAATTTTTAAGGCGTAATTCGTAATGAAATGTACGTACATGCGAAAACGTGTGTATGTACTATCTACAACAAATAAACAAATCCCGTCCCTAAAGTACCAATCCTGCTTAACTGCTAAATTCACAATTATTGTGTAATTTAGACAAAGACCCTGCAAATTCAAATTTATGATAACAAGGACTTATTAGATCAACAGAACAGCAAATAAACCATTGACATGTGTATTATTGGAAACATTAGTAGCAAAGTGTCAAATAATGCTAAAGTGACATTCAGTGTCCACATTTGCACACGTTGTTACAGTCGTAGAAGAATACTATACGTATTTGGATCTTTTAGAAAGCCTCGTGAGTAGGAAAAGATAGCTCTTAAGAATAATGTACTATTGTACACTATTTCAATGAAGGCCTACATTAAAGTAGTGACTTCTGCAGGTATTCCTAAAGCAATACATTCAGTTTATATACCTACTGTGCATATTCCACGATCGTTATTCATTAATAATGAGCATCTACCCACGCTACTATCGAACTAAAACCCTTGTACCCTAGTGCAACGCTTGCGAAGAAACAATAGCATTTTATTACTTTTTTCAGTCACAATTTTACATCTCTGTGTCCCCTTTAAGAATAGTATATTCTATAACGAGTATGGAATAGAGTGTATTCCGCGCGAGTGGAAAGTTCGTCACACGAGCCGAAGGCGAGTGTGACGGTTCCACGAGCGTTGAATACCTATTCTTTACAAGTAATAGACATAATTTTTTCTACTACTACGACGAATTTTTACAAAATATGTAAAACAAGCAGGGTTAACTATAGACAATTCACACATTAGTATGGACGTCTATGTACGGTGGGTTGGTATAACAGATCACTGTGGCATATTTGACAGATATTTGTCTAAATGGCTGTATAAACAAATTCCTCGACAATTTCTCTTCCCTCAATATTATCCCAGAAAAGGAAAACTAACTTTTCTGTGATATTATTTACAAATGTGCACATTAATTATTGAATGTGCCCTGTCCTGCGCAGTGTATCGGCGTGGATCATTTAGATTTAGATAAACATAACCATAAGCGATAAACGTATTCGAGATTGCGACCGGAATGTAATTCATGATGTGTATAAATTCAAATACAAAATGCTACAAAGAGGACGTTATGGATGCAAATTAGAAATAAACATCATAGCACTACTCGAAAAATTTGTATGTAAGTAGGTATCTACGAGTGTAGGTAACATTTTAGTGAGCATTATATTTTAGGTTAGTTTTAAAACTTCCTGGAGGAAATGTGTTCTGGATGACCAACAACGTTAACTGTTTGGATATGGATGTTCTTTTTGTATAGTGCAGTGAGGTACATTAATTCATTGTAGAATATGCAACTTGATGTTTGGTTGTAGGTATACCAACGTACGGGTCCCTCGTAATTGTAAACTTTCGTTGTACATTAGTTTTCGTATTGGGTATTCTAATTACAGTTCCACCTAAGTCCACCGATTTTTATGTTCCACAATTCGTGCTTACGACAAGCACCACTAATGCCAACTATAAGAGCAACCTGCAAATGTAAAATAAATATGATGTAACGAGTAACGATTTGAACGTGTAATGTTATAGTAGATATGAACTGTCGGGGGTGCTTTTTGAATAAACATTTTTACTTTGCTCGTTGATAGAATTTTTGACTTTTTAGGGAAATATCCGCTGGATTGCATTTTTAACAAGGCCTGCAACTTAGCATAGCTGCTTATATCTACATTATTGTTCAAAAGTATCGTAGAGCACAGCATGGAATACGTTTTCTACAATGTGGATGCTTTAATTTACTGTGATAGTTTGCTAAAGTAAGCACTACGTTCTCTGAAAATGAGTTGGTTTTTTTCTTGTCCTCAACTCCAAAAATTTGCTGTATGTATGTTCGTACACTTTTAGTTTGTCGGGAAGTAAATTTTTTTGCGTGTTCTGCTTCCACGGTGATTTCCGGGGGAGTATTTGAAAGTTCCATTAAATCCTCACTGGCCACTGCTATACATTTTCGCGCTACCGGTCCTTAAAATTTAATATCTGGCGCAAGCGTAATTAAAATTTTGACAGTTTAAGAATTGTGGTTTAGGATGTCCTGTTTTAGATGTCGCCACATGTGCTCATTCCATGTATTTATATATCTATGTCATTCCATCACAAGAGCTAGAATGAAATTATTCCACTTCACTAGCAGAGAATAGGCGAGATTCTGTTGTTAAAAAAGAAGCAAGTATGACGTGATTCTAAGGAAGTAGTAGAAA